TCATGACAGATCTTATTTGCTGATGCTATAATCCTAACTCGCGGACATGTCTTTGCTTGTCTTTATCGGGCAGTACCCAGTCCTTTCCAGAAGAAGGTGTAGCCTCCTTTTTTCTTACCAGTTTTCAGTGAATTTTAATCTGCATTTTGTCTAGTACTGGCTGTCCTTCTCCTGCTCTCCGGGTCTCCTGAAGGGCTGCTATGTCGATGTTGAAGCGTCCCAGCTCCCTTGCAATGATGGCAGTTCTGCGTTCGGGGCGTTCACTGCCACTGTTGTCCATCAGAGTCCGTACGTTCCACGTACCGAAGTTCATTTTCTTTTTTGGCCGCAGGGTGGTGACCCCACTGGACGCGGCAGTCCAGTCAGGGATAAGAGAGGCAGACTATGTTTAGGGCACCTTTTCTAGCCCCCTCCCCGTGTGGGGTGAGCAGAGTGGGTCCTAAAAAGGGCTGCTCAGTCGCGGATACAGCTGCCGAACTACTCAACTGCCTCGGACCTTGAGGTAGAACGACTGAGTCCGTACCCACCGCCCATGTGCCAGTCTGTGACTAGGGGCTTCCAGATTTCACAGAAACCCAACTGCCTCAGACCTTGAGGTAGAACGACTGAGTCTGTACCCACCGCCCATGTGCCAGTCTGTGACTAGGGGCTTCCAGATTTCACAGTCCTGCCCCCGTCGCCACTCGCTGATCGCCATGGGACTTTGGTTGGTTTGTTTTTATTTTCTTTGGAAGACGCCTGTGCGTGGGTTTTTTTAATGTGTGGAGGTCAGTGCACAACTGATCAACACACAGACTTCACAGAGTGAGGTTCCACTGGTGATGTAGTTTAACACAATGACCGTGGCTTCTCAGTCTGTTGCAGCCTTCTTCCGCCTTCGCAGCCGTTGTAACATGTGCCATGTTATCCTCCGCCTGCTCCGCCGTTGAGGTCTTTGGGTCTTCGGACTGTGCTTGGTCTGGAACCTCCCCCGCAGCCACTCCTGGGAGTGCACGACTCCAGTTGTTGTGCCTACAGGTTCATCGGAACGCGCAAGCCCCCTCACAGGTCTTTGGGTCTTCGGACTGTGCTTGGTCTGGAACCTCCCCCGCGGCCACTCCTGGGAGTGCACGACTCCAGTTGTTGTGCCTACAGGTTCATCGGAACGCGCAAGCCCCCTCACCACGACAAGGTGACAGTCCATCGAGGGGGACCAAACGCAGCAGCATTACCCAAACATGAATCAAGGAACATGAATGGCACGGCAGACTACTTCAACCAGAGAAGTCAGCCATAGCAGAGCACCTGATGAACCAACCTGGACACAGCATTTTATTTGAGAACACAGAAATGCTGGACCACTCCAACAACCACCATGTCAGACTACACAGAGAAGCCATTGAAATCCACAAGCATGTGGACAATTTCAACAGAAAGGAGGAGACCATGAAAATGAACAAAATCTGGCTACCAGTATTAAAAAACTCTAAAATTACAACAGCACAACAGCAGAGAGGAAACAACCAGGCACATCTTAACACCTCTCAACAGAACATTTTCCCAGGCTCAGCGAGGCCTTCAAATGCTAATGAAGGTGGTCAGCTGAAACATTCACACCTAGCTTCAGCAGAGAGCTCTTTGCCCCACCCCAGTCATTCCACAGATATATAAACCCATTTTCCTATTTCCAACAGACCTCACTACCTCTGAGGATGCTTGCCATAGATGCAGGAGAAACGTCAGGAGAAAATGCCTCTAGAACATGGCCCTATAGCCTGAAAAAACCTACAAGAACCTAGTGATTCCAGCCGTAAGACCTAGAGCAGTGTTTCTCAACCTTCCTAATGCCATGACCCCTTAATCCAGTTCCTCATGTTGTGCTGACCCCCAACCATAACATTATTTTCGTTGCTACTTCAGAACTGTAGTTTTGCTACTATGATGAATCATAATGTAAATATATGATATGCAGGATGTATTTCCATTCAGTAGGCCAAATTTGGCACATTTTGCATGTTTTCGAACTGCTAGGTTGGCAGTTTTGACACACCCAAATTTGAATACTGGTGGGGTTGATTTTGTCTTTTGGGAAATGTAGTTGCTGGGATTTATAGTTCATAGAATCATAGAATCAAAGAGTTGGAAGAGACCTCATGGGCCATCCAGTCCAACCCCATTCTGCCAAGAAGCAGGAATATTGCATTCAAATCACCCCTGACAGATGGCCATCCAGCCTCTGTTTAAAAGCTTCCAAAGAAGGAGCCTCCACCACACTCCGGGGCAGAGAGTTCCACTACTGAACAGCTCTCACAGTCAGGAAGTTCTTCCTCATGTTCAGATGGAATCTCCTCTCTTGTAGTTTGAAGCCATTGTTTTGCGTCCTAGTCTCTAGGGAAGCAGAAAACAAGCTTGCTCCCTCCTCCCTGTGGCTTCCTCTCACGTATTTATACCTGGCCCTCATCATGTCTCCTCTCAGCCTTCTCTTCTTCAGGCTAAACATGCCCAGCTCCTTAAGCCGCTCCTCATAGGGCTTGTTCTCCAGACCCTTGATCATTTGGACACATTCCAGCTTGTCAATATCTCTCTTGAATTGTGGTGCCCAGAATGGGACACAATATTCCAGGTGTGGTCTAACCAAAGCAGAATAGAGGGGTAGCATTACTTCCTTAGATCTAGACACTAGGCTCCTATTGATGCAGGCCAAAATCCCATTGGCTTTTTTTGCCGCCACATCACATTGTTGGCTCGTGTTTAACTTGTTGTCCACAAGGACTCCAAGATCTTTTTCACACGTACTGCTCTCAAGCCAGGCATCATCGTCCCCCATTCTGTATCTTTGCATTTCGTTTTTTTCTGCCTAAGTGGAGTATCTTGCATTTGTCCCTGTTGAACTTCATTTTGTTAGTTTTGGCCCATCTTTCTAATCTGTCAGGATTGTTTTGAATCCTGCTCTTCTTTATCATACATATTTGTATGACATCGTTTTGAATTCTGCTCTTCTTTATCATACATATTTGGATTTTCTACTCTTTTACTGTGTGTACTTTTTCAATAAACCGTTTATTACTACACCTGGCTTCCTGGTGAGTGCTTGAGCAAGGTGGACCCTAGCTGAGGTGCAACACATACAACTCCTCTGTTGCATTAGCTCCACTGGCTGCCAGGCTGCGACTGAGCACAATTGAAAGTGCTGGCTTTAACCTATAAAGCCCTAAATGGTTCCGGCCCAGGATACCTGTCTAAATGTATTTTCCCATACAAACCAGCTCGGCCCCTCAATCGTGGAACTCCCTCCTTAGCCTACTAGCCTTAGGAAGAGTGTCAAAACCTGGCTCTGGGAGCAGGCTTTCAAAAATTAGGGCAATGCAGTATTCTGAATAGAGAATTATGTGCAATTTGACCTTAGAATGGCCTTATTTTAATTTGGATAATGTGTGCCAAGGCTGATTCAGATCTACCAACCTACTTACCTATCCATAGATATAGATATATTCTGGAATCCCCCCAAACCCATATTTTTCATCCTAAGCAATTCAGATAAGGGAACCTTAACATGTAGTTCCATTATCTTGCTGGGAAGTTTCCCAGGCATATGCCTAAGACAATTGCAAGGTACCTCATATCCAGTATAAGATTGAGTTGAATATTCAAAGTCAGAATCAGGACCTCCAGGACAGTATCTGTATTTGCAAGAGAGGAAAGCACATCACACAGTGGCACAAACCATTCTTCTAACCTTCTTCAATGTAAATGTGCTTACGTATCCTTTCAATAATAATGAATGTAATACTAACAATAATAAAGATTAAAATAATAAATGTAATAAGAATAAAGTAGAATAATACATGCGACAATAATAAATAGAATAAAATAATAAATGTAATAATAATAATAATAATAATAAAAAAAAAATAAAAAATATCCTTGACTTGAGTATAAGCCGAGGGGGATTTTTTTAGTCTTAAAAAAGGCCTGAAAACTTGGCTTATACTTGAATATACACAGTATATTGTTATAAAGCAGTTTAGCTGCATTATACGGCAGTGTAGATGGGGCCATAGTCCAACACTCAAATCTTTACACTATGGTATGATGTAGTGATTGCAATACCAATGCAATCTTTTTTTTTTTTTTACCTATTATATTCAGTATATAAATTCCTGTTATGTACATTTTTATACCAGTTGTATTTTGTGCCCATAATATACCTATATTCTGGGGACCACTTTACTGTCCTTGGAAAGGGATCAAATCTAGTTCCCAGCCCAGGACATAAAGGTTTCAACACATCCCTGCATTGTCTCGTACTTACACACATATGTTTCCTGTAAAGTTGATGTGTGGACACCTATGTGGTTTACACATGACAGCCACAACAGCAATCTGAAAAAAAAAAAAACATTGCAGAGACGTCATCTTACATGAAGGCAAATTCACTCAATCAATGCATTTCAGGCACAAGGAAGGCATAGAAGAAACTTTGGATAGTAATGAACCGTTGTCACACTCCACCACTTAACAAGCCAACAGGACTGGTGGAAACTGGAGTCCAGAGACATCTAGACAGTTATGAATTTCCTAGGGTTGATTTAGATAAACTGAAAGGGCCACAAGCAGTTCACAATGTCTATGTACCTAATCACATCCACTCAACCACCTTTCATTCAGAAACTACCCAAAGAAAGAGTCACAGAATCGTAGAGCTGGAAGAGACACCAAAGGCCATCCAGTCCAATCCCTTCTGCCAAGCAGAAATACACAATCAAAGCCTCCCAACAGATGGCCATCCAGTCTGCTTTAAAATCTCAAGAGAAAAGGACTCTACTGGCTTTCCACTGCCAAAAAGCAATTACTTACTTAGGCGATCCCTTATAGTCCAAGGATAATGGTCCTCCAAGTGTAGTGTCCTAGCGGTGGTTCCGTAGGTGACTGTGGAGCCCTATTCTTGATCCACATGTTCTCCCGCAGTGAGGGCATTGGTTTCCAGGTGGAAGGTGGTCTCGGTCGGGGTTGGCTTGACGCGCCTTCCTCTTGGCATGTTTCTCTCTTTCTCCCTCCATTCGTGCCTCTACAAATTCTGCAGCACTGCTGGTCACAGCTGACCTCCAGCTGGAGCACTCAAGGGCCAGGTCTTCCCAGTTCTCAGTGTCTATGCCAGAGCTTTTAAGGTTGGCTTTGAGACCTTCTTTAAATCTCTTCCTGCCCACCAACATTATGTTTTCCGTTCTTGAGTTCAGAGTACAGCATCTGCTTCGGGAGACGGTCGGGCATCCGGACAAGCGGAGTTGGTGGCAGAGGAGCATCGCTTCAGTGCTGGTGGTCTTTGCTTCTTCCAGCATGCTGACATTTGTCCGCTTGTCTTCCCAAGAGATTTGCAGGGTTTTTCGGAGGCAGCGCTGATGAAATCGTTCCAGGAGTTGCATGTGACATCTGTAGACAGTCCACGTCTCACAAGCATATAGCAGGGTTGGGAGGACAATAGCCTTATAAGCAAGCACCTTGGTATCCTTACAGATGTGCTGGTCCTCAAACACTCTCTGCTTCATTCGGAAAAACGCTGCACTCGCAGAGCTCAGGCGGTGTTGAATTTCAGTGTCAATGTTGACTTTGGTGGAGAGGTGGCTGCCAAGGGAGCGGAAATGGTCAACATATTCTAATGTTTCCCCATTAAGCTGTATCTCTGGCATTGGAGAAGGATTAGCTGGTGACTGCTGGAACAGCACTTTGGTTTTCTAGATGTTTAATAACAGGCCGAACTTCTCGTATGCTTCTGTGAAGGTGTTTAGAGTGGCTTGTAGGTCTTCTTCTGAATGCGCACAGACGATGTTGTCCTCCAGATGTTTTGGACTTCAACTCTCACAATTCCTAACAGCTTACCGCCTGTTAGGAATTGTGGGAGTTGAAGTTCAAAACACACGGAGGGCCCAAGTTTGCCCATGCCTGATCTAGAGCACCACTAAATTGGTCAAAGGTCTCGAAGCAAAGCCCCTGTGAGGAACAGCTTAGGGAGCTGGGTCTGTTTAGCTTGGAGAAGGCCGAAATAGCCATATTTAAATATCTGAAAAGATGTCACACGGAGGAGCATCAAGCTGATGCATTTTTTGCTTCTCTGGAGACAAACTACAGGAAAAGGATCTGTTGACTCATTAGTCCAACTGACTATATCAACAACCAAAGACAAAAAACAAAAATACACAGGCAAATAGACCCTAATCACTATCCTAACACTCCAGTAATAGTTAAGTAAAATAAACTAATTTATTTATTATTTACTGTATTTGATACCACCTTTCTCAGCCTATCGGCGACAAGGCGGTTTCTAACAAAACAGTATAAATAATATCGTAATACAGATTAAAACATTAAAACGGTATAAAACACAACAAAGGCAATAAAAAACAACATCACTAGCGTCTCCTTATTATCAAGCATTGTCCAGTTCCATCGTCAAGTTGTTAGATTTCCTATATCAATTACTCTGCATTTGTAAACACTTGATCAAATAGCCGTGTTTTAACTTGCCTCCAAAATGTTAACAGGGAGGGAGCAGATCTAATCTCCGTAGGGAGGGCGTTCCATAGCCGAGGGGCCACTGCTGAGAAGGTCCTGTCTCTCGTCCCCGCCAAACGTGCTTGTGACGAAGGCAGGACCGGGAGCAGGACCTCCTCAGATGATCTTAAAGTCCTCAGTGGTTTGTAAGGGGAGATACGTTCGGACAGGTAAGTTGGGCCAGAACTGTTTAGGGCTTTATAGGCCAAAGCCAGCACTTTGAATTGGGCCCGGTAGCAAACTTTAAATACCTCTGAGGAAGGGGAATCCAAGAAAGACTTACCCCGCTTGCTGTGCGGATGGGCTTGGCCTTCAGTTTGGGAACCAGCACACGGCGGTACTGTGGTGGCACAGCGGCAATGATGTCCACCAGGCGAGGCTGGGCAGAAAGCCCGTATTTAGCAGCCGTCTTGGTTTTGATCCTGAAACGGAAACACAACATGGCAGAGATGGGGAAGAGGGAAGTCTCTGGGTAACAGAACCCCACACCTATTATTTCCGCCCTTGTCAGCCGGGAATTACAGGGATTGCAGTATAGCAACATTCAGGAGAGGGTTTGCGATGTAGTTTGTCAGGTTTTCATTTTAATTATTTTTATAGTCATTCCTCCATGATTTGAGTTTTGCAGAATTGATTATTTATGGATTTATTTATTTATTTACAACATTTATATGCCGCACTTCTCACCCTGAAGGGGACTCACAGCAACTTACAAGGTATATATTACATACATCATATTATATTATTAGCATAGTACAATATCAGCATTAAACATCGCTATATTGCACCATAACACTATATCATAATATTTTTTGTAATATTAAATGTAATCTATATAAATAAAAATGTAATGTTTGTTTGTGGGATTAACAGAACTAAAAAACCACAAGAGGAATTGACACCAAATTTGGACACAAGACACCTAACCCAATGTATGTCCTTCACTCAAAAAAATTGATTTTGTCATTTGGGAGTTGTAGTTGCTGGGATTTATAGTTCACCTACAATCAAAGCGCATTCTGAACCCCACCAACGATGGAATTGAACCATACTTGGCACACAGTTCTCCCATGACCAACAGGAAATAACAGAAGGGTTTGGTGGGCAGTGTCCTTTGGTTTTGGAGTTGTAGTTCACCTACATCCAGAGATCACTGTGGACTCAAACAATGATGGATCAGGACCAAACTCCACATGAATACTCAATATTTCCAAATGTGAACACTGGTGGAGTTTGGGGAAAATAGAATCTTGACATTAGGGAGTTGTAGTTCCTGAGATTTATAGTTCACCTACAATCACAGAGCATTCTGAACCCCACTAACGATAGAATTGGGCCAAACCCCCCAGACAGAACCTCCATATGGACCACAGCAACGCATGGCAGGAGACAGCTAGTATAAATATATAATTATAATATTATATTATTATTATTATTATTATTATTATTATTATTATTATTATTATTATATTGCATTACATTATAATATTATAAATATTATATGTATATACAATATATTATATTATATTATATTATCGGGATTGGACTGAAATGTTCTCTCTAAAAACATCTAGGTGCTCCTGTGTAAATTTACAGCCAGCTTCCAGAGGAAGTCAACTATACTGTCATGCCATAAAACCAGTGGTTCTCAACCTGTGGGTCCCCAGGTGTTGTCAGCTCCTGCCAGATCTTAGAACAAAGCCACGCTCACAAGGGCAATTTCTTGAACACGGGTTTATTCAGTCTATACAGGATACGTAGAAAGAGAGATCTGAGGGTTTCCCGCCAATGCCCAGCAATTCATCCCCCTTGGTTCCTCCCCCCTTCTTCCCCTCTTATCACAAGTTGTGGCTACATTCCATTCCCACATCAACAAAGCATTCTCTTCTTCCAGATGGCTCCCCTATCAAACCATAAAACACAACGATGTCAGGAGGGAGTCTTCGAGGCCCGGAGGAGGCTCTGGCTGTGTTTTCTTAACTCAAAGGCCACATCCTGACAGGTGTTTTGGCCTACAACTCCCAGAAATCCCAGCCACTTTACCGGCTGTTAGGATTTCTGGGAATTGAAGGCCAAAAAAATCACAGGTTGAGAACCACTGCATTAAACCCTAAAATCATAGAGAATTGTTCAATCGAGTAAAAATATTGCCATTTCTATTGGCTCGTTTTTCACTTTCTGGGATGTTCTGTGTCTCTAACCTCATCCAATATAAAGGGTTATTGTTGGAACATGCTTCCAAAGGAGATAAGATTGGCCTCATCCCTCTTGGCTTCCAGGAAAAAAGTGAAATTGTGGTTGTGGAACTAGGCTTTCAGACAGCATACTTAATTAGCACTTTGTTTGGAAATTGACTGGAATGATGATACAGCTGATGATATTGTATTATTGTTTTAATCAATGTTTATGTACTGTTTTAATTAACGCTTTATATATTTTAATTGTGCTGTATTATTGTAATTTTTTTATATGAAGCAGTATTGAATCGTTGCCAAATTTAAGTCATCCTGAATCCCCTTCGGGGGTAGAGAATAATATAATAATAAAGTTTATTTATACCCCGCCACCATCTCCCCCAATGGGGATTCGGAGCGGCTTACATGGGGCCAAGCCCGAACGACAAATTACAATACAAAAATACAAATTGCAGTAAAATAAACAACATAACAATAAAGTATAAAACATCAAAGCATATAAACAATATACACAAAACATAGAAACCAAACATAATGACAAAGAGCGGGCCGCATGTACATAAAATGATTTAAAAACTCAGGGTGAGATAAAGAGGCAGAACTGTTTGTAAGGGAGAACTCACAGTGAGACCAAGAAATAAACAAGAGAAGAGGCGGGGTAGAAATACCGGAAATAAATAAATATTTTTAAAAACCAGTTGAATTTTGAGTTGGTTGAATGTATGGGTTCTGGCTATAATTAGAGAATAATAATAATAATAATAATAATAATAATAATAATAATAATCAAACCTCAAAAAGTAGGGGAACCCATTTAGGTGATTCTGGGAAAACAGATAAGAGGTGGATACGATATAACTTACTTGTTTAAGTTGACATCTTTGCCTTGTTCGTGAGCCTCAATCAGCTGCTTGATGACATCGGCAATGGTCATCATCATCAGCTCGGCCCGGCTGAGGTCCCCTGAAACACAAGGAAAGGCTGGTCCAGAGTCTGCGCAAAATTGTGAAGTACTGGGTGAAAACAGCAAGTACAAAGGGGCTGTCACGAAGATGCAAATGGGAAGGTCTGGATGCAGAAGTCATTTTGCCAAAAGTAAACTTTCCTGCAGAGAATGGATTCATTTGTAATGTGGTGCTGAAGGAGAGAGAGTTCTGTGGTTCCCAGGGATTGCCAAAAAGACTAACAAATAAGTCCTGCAGCAAATCAGGCCTAAGCTCTTCTTAGAAGCCAATATGGTTAAACCGAAGCTTGACTGGGCATTTACTTACTTACTTAGGCGATCCCTCGTTGTCTGAGTAAGATTGTCCCCCAAGGTCGGTGTACTGGCGGTGGAGCCCTATTCTTGATCTACATGTTCTCCCGCGGTGAAGGCATTGGTTTCCAGGTGGAAGGCGGTCCTGGTCGAGGTTGGCTTGATGCGCCTTCCTCTTGGCATATTTCTCTCTTTCGCCCTCCATTCGTGCCTCTTCAAATTCTACAGCACTGCTGGTCACAGTTGAACTCCAGCTGGAGCGCTCAAGGGCCAGGGCTTCCCAGTTCTCAGTGTCTATGCCAGAGTTCTTAAGACTGGCTTTGAGCCCATCTTTAAATCTCTTTTCCTGTCCACCAACATTCCGTTTTCCGTTCTTGAGTTCGGAATAGAGCAACTGCTTTGGGAGACGGTGGTAGGGCATCCGGACAACGTGGCCGGTCCAGCAGAGTTGATGGCAGAAGACCTTTACTTCAATGTTGGTGGTCTTTGCTTCTTCCAGCACGTTGACATTTCCCTGCCTGTCTTCCCAAGAGATTTGTAGGATTTTCTGGAGGCAATGCTGATGGAATCATTCCAGGAGTTGCATGTGGCGTCTGTAGACAGTCCACGTTTCACAGGCATATAGCAGTGTTGGGAGGACAATAGCTTTATAAACAAGTATCTTGGTCTCCCTACGGATGTCCCAGTCCTCAAACACTCTCTGCTTCATTCGGAAAAATGCTGCACTCACAGAGCTTAAGCGGTGTTGTATTTCAATGTCAATGTAGAATTTTGTGGAGCGAAAATGGGCACTACCATCTTCAGGTCCTCCACATCTAGCAAGGGGTGCAGCTGGCAGATCAGCCGAAGCTGGTAGGAAGCACTCCAGACCATTGTTGCATCTACCTGGGCTTTATTTATCGTGTCAGGGGCAACCAAACAGTTGTATTACATATTTAACAGAACAAATAAACAAACAGACAGACAAAACACAAAGTTTGCAAGCTTGGTAGTTGATTAAATGTCTTTTGGGCTGACATTTGGAAAGATGGATCCTTAGCGCAGGCCTGGGCCAACTTGGGCCTTCTCTCCAGGTGTTTTGGACTCCAACTCCCACAATTCCTAACAGCCGTAGGATGTTAGGAATTGTGGGAGTTGGGGTCCAAAACACCTGGAGAGAAGGCCCAAGTTGGCCTAGGCGTGGTCTACACTGTCAATACTGGGCACCACAACTGAAGAGAGATATCGACAAGCTGGAATGTGTCCAGAGAAAGAGGGCGACTAAAATGATCAAGGTTCTGGAGAACAAGCCCTATGAGGAGCGGCTTAAGGAGCTGGGCATGTTTAGCCTGAAGAAGAGAAGGCTGAGAGGGGATATGATAGCCATGTATAAATACGTGAGAGGAAGCCACGGGGAGGAGGGAGCAAGCTTGTTTTCTGCTTCCTTGGAGACTAGGACGCAATGGAACAATGGCTTCAAACTACAAGAGAGGAGATTCCATCTGAACATGAGGAAGAACTTCCTGACTGTGAGAGCCGTTCAGCAGTGGAACTCTCTGCCCCGGAGTGTGGTGGAGGCTCCTTCTTTGGAGCTTTTAAACAGAGGCTGGATGGCCATTTGTCAGGAGTGATTTGAATGCAATATTCCTGCTTCTTGGCAGGGGGTTGGACTGGATGGCCCATGAGGTCTCTTCCAACTCTTTGATTCTATGATTCTATGAATACAATTTGGGATTGATGGTGGCCCATTGAAGATAGGCTGTTAGGAATTGTGTGGAGTTGCAGTCCAAAACACCTGGAGAGAAGGCCCAAGTTGGCCCAGGCCTGATATATTCTAGTAATGCAGAGTGATCCCTCTCTCCTTGTAAAACAAACTCAACTAAAACATGCACAATTTAGGCCACCAAATGCCTTTCAGGACAGTGCCCATCATTCCCAGCCTTGATTTTTGGGCATGATGGGGCCTGTAGTCCATTATTTTGGGCTAAAGGAGCCTTAATGATTGAAGCCCCCTCTGCTCACCTTTCTTCTTCTGCCTCATGGTGAGAAAACACCCCTCGACTCCTCAGCCCTTCTGGCTCTCCGGTTGACCACCTGAGAAGCAACAACTTCCCTGTGTATTTTCACGACACCGTCGCGAAAAGGGAAAGGGCGGAAGCGGTAAGGCACCCCTATGTAGCCACGCGGCCGTAAAGCGAGGCAGAACGTGCCAGGATTGGCGGAGAGGCTGGAGACTAGATTGTAAACACTGGCCCCGCCCCTTCCGAGCGCTGCGGACTGAGCATGCGCTGGCGAGCTATGCTGCTGCTGTTGCTGCTGCGCCCCCTGCTGGAATCCCAAGGCTTTTTCATAGTAAGGGAACACGCGTCTTCTTTTGCAGGTGTGAATGCGTTAACTTGGGAACGCAAGTGTCCTATTCATTCCTAATATGTATTTCTGCATTCTCTCGATCATTAATACATAAATACTATTAAAAAAGCTTTTTAAAGGAGTGGTGTGTGTGTGTATATGTCAATTCAGCATCTTTTGGTGTATGTATGGGGTTAGCCCCCGGTGGCGCAGTGGGTTAAAGCACTGAGCTGCTGAGCTTGTTGATCGAAAGGTCACAGGTTCGATTCCGGGGAGTGGCGTGAGCTTCCGCTGTCAGCCCTAGCTTCTGCCAACCTAGCAGTTCGAAAACATGCAAATGTGAGTAGATCAATAGGTACCGCTCCGGCGGGAAGGTAAGGGCGCTCCATGCAGTCATGCCGGCCACATGACCTTGGAGGTGTCTACGGACAACGCCGGCTCTTCGGCTTAGAAATGGAGATGAGCACCACACCCAATAGTAAGACATGACTGGACTTAATGTCAGGGGACTACCTTTACCTATGGGGTTAGTAGATCTAATGAGAAATCTCCAAGTCCCCCAATGCATGGGAGTTGCAGTTTTCCAAGGACTTGAGCCTTCTCTGCCAAAGAGTCCTGGGTCCTCACCAAACTACAAATCCCAGGATTCCATACCATGGAGCCATGACAATTAAAATTTATTTATTTCCTAGCTGTCCCCTGCCACGCGTTGCTAGCCGTAAATTTACACAGGAGCACCTAGATGTTTTTAGAGAGAACATTTCAGTCCAATCCCGATAATATAATATAATATATTGCATATACATATAATATTATAATGTAATGCAATATAATAATAATAATATGATATTATAATTATATATACTAGCTGTCCCCTGCCACGCATTGCTGTGGTCCACATGGGGGTTCTGTGTGGGAGGTTTAGCCCAATTCTATCGTTGGTGGGATTCAGAAAGCACTGTGATTGTAGGTGAACTATAAATCCCAGCAACTACAACTCCCAAATGTCAATATTCTATTTTCCCCAAACTCCACCAGTGTTCACATTTGGGCATATTGAATATTCTTGTAGAGTTTGGTCCAGATCCATCATTGTTTGAGTCCACAATGATCTCTGGATGTAGGTGAACTACAACTCCAAAACCAAAGGACACTGCCCACCAACCCCTTCCAGTATTTTCTGTTGGTCATGGGAGAACTGTGTGCCAAGTTTGGTTCAATTCCATCTTTGGTGGGGTTCAAAATGTTCTTTGCTTGTAGGTGAACTATAAATCCCAGCAACTACAACTCCCAAATGTCAAAATTCTATTTTTCCCAAACTCCAGCAGTATTCACATTTGGGTATATTGAGTATTCTTGTAGAGTTTGGTCCAGATCCATCATTGTTTGAGCCCACAGTGATCTCTGGATGTAGGTGAACTACAACTCCAAAACCAAAGGACACTGCCCACCAGCCCCTTCCAGTATTTTCTGTTGGTCATGGGAGAACTGTGTGCCAAGTTTGGGTCAATTCCATCGTTGGTGGGGTTCAGAATGTTCTTTGCTTGTAGGTGAACTATAAATCCCAGCAACTACAACTCCCAAATGTCAAGATTCTATTTTTCCCAAACTCCAGCAGTATTCACATTTGGGTATATTGAGTATTCTTGTAGAGTTTGGTCCAGATCCATCATTGTTTGAGTCCACAATGATCTCTGGATGTAGGTGAGCTACAACTCCAAATCCAAAGGACACTGCCCACCAAACCCTTCCAGTATTTTCTGTTGGTCATGGGGGAACTGTGCTCTAAGTTTGGTCCAATTCCATCGTTGGTGGGGTTCAGAATGTTCTTTGCTTGTAGGTGAACTATAAATCCCAGCAACTACAACTCCGAAATGATAAATCCAATTTTTTTTAGTGAAAGACATACATTGGCCTGATAGGTATCCTTTGTCCAAATTTGGTGTCAATTCATCCAGTGGTTTTTGAGTTCTGTGAATACCACAAACGAACATCACATTTTTATTTATATAGATAATATTAATAATAGGTTCTTGTGGGTTTTTTCGGGCTATAGGGCCATGTTCTAGAAGCATTTCTCCTGACGTTTCGCCTGCATCTATGGCAAGCATCCTCAGAGGTAGTGAGGTCTGTTGGAAATAGGAAAATGGGTTTATATATCTGTGGAATGGCTGGGGTGGGGCAAAGAGCTCTTCTCTGCTGAAGCTAGGTGTGAATGTTTCAGCTGACCACCTTCATTAGCATTTGAAGGCCTGGCTGAGCCTGGGAAAATGTTCTGTTGAGAGGTGTTAAGATGTGCCTGGTTGTTTCCTCTCTGCTGTTTTGCTGTTGTAATTTTAGAGTTTTTTAATACTGGTAGCCAGATTTTCCCAGGCTCAGGCAGGCCTTCAAATGCTAATGAAGGTGGTCAGCTGAAACATTCACACCTAGCTTCAGCAGAGAAGAGCTCTTTGCCCCACCCCAGCCATTCCACAGATATATAAACCCATTTTCCTAGTTCCAACAGACCTCACTACCTCTGAGGATGCTTGCCATAGATGCAGGCGAAACGTCAGGAGAAATGCCTCTAGAACATGGCCATATAGCCCGAAAAAACCTACAACAACCCAGTGATTCCGGCCATGAAAGCCTTCGACAATACAATATTAATAATGTAATGCAATATAAAACTACTAATAATATATTATAATTATATATTTATATTACATGTAATATTAATAATATATAATATTACAATATAATGGTGTAGTACAATACAGTAATATTTAATACTGATATTGTACAAAGGTAATGTTGTTGTTCATTCGTTCAGTCATCTCCGACTCTTCATGACCTCATGGACCATCCCACGCCAGAGCTCCCTGTCGGCCGTCACCACCCCCAGCTCCTTCAAGGTCAGTCCAGTCACTTCAAGTATGCCATCCATCCATCTTGCCCTTGGTCGGCCCCTCTTCCTTTTGCCTTCCACTTTCCCCAGCATAATTGTCTTCTCTAGGCTTTGCTGTCTCCTCATGATGTGGCCAAAGTACTTCAACTTTGTCTCTAGTATCCTTCCCTCCAGTGAGCAGTCGGGCTTTATTTCCTGGAGGATGGACTGGTTGGATCTTCTCGCAGTCCAAGGCACTCTCATTTCCTCCAACACCACAGCTCAAAAGCATCTCTCTTCCTTCGCTCAGCCTTCCCTAAGGTCCAGCTCTCACATCCGTAGGTGACTACAGGGAAGACCATGGCTTTGACTAGGCAATAGATCTTGGTTGCCAGTGTGATGTCTCTACTCTTGACTATTTTATTGAGACTGGACATTGCTCTCCTCCCAAGAAGGAAGCGCCTTCTGATTTCCTGGCCACAGTCTGCATCTGCACTCATCTTTGCAGGTAATAATATAATATATTGTGTGTGTGTGTGTGTGTGTGTGTATCTTGTGAGCTGCTCTTGAGTTCCCTTCGGGGTGAGAAGGGCGGCATAAAAATGTCGCAAATAAATAAATAAATAAATAAGAGGGTGTCAAAGTGCATTAATGCTACAGTATAGATGCACCTTGTGTTATATTATTCAGGCTGCTTCTGGATCCAGGGATCTTTATAGTACTTGATATGGAATGAATGGAATCTCAAGCCATTCGCTTTTTCTGTAGCCTGCCTTTGCCCTAAGCTTAGGAGTCATAGAATCACTGAATAGGGCCCCTAATAACCATCAGGTCCCACCCCCTTCTGCCAGGTAGGAAGACAAAACCCTCCCAACAGATGGCCATCCAGCTGGAAGTCAATTATAGACAGTCTAAGAACTGTCAGGCCATCAAATGCTAATCAGGGCAGCCCTATGAGACATTCACACCTACCTCCAACAGACAAGAGTTCTTTCTCCCACCCTGGACTTCCCACAGATATATAAACCCAATTTTCCTAGTTTCCAACAGATCTCCCAACCTCTGAAGATGCCTGCCACAGATGCAGGTGAAACGTCAGGAGAGAACGGTTCTGGAACACAGCCATAGAGCCCGGAAAACTTACAGCAATCCAGTCTTAAGAGTCCTTTGGAGGTCTTTAAACAACATCTGGCTGGCCATCTGTTAGGAGTGTTTTGGTTGTGTGTTTCTACCAGGCAGCATGGGGTTGGATTGGATGGCTTTTGGTGATCTTTTTGAATTCTAGGATGTTGATTCAAGACATGCTTTAACCATATTGTGTGGCTGAAAAGGGAGAATTCCTGGCTCTTTCTAACACAAATATGTCAATTCATTCCCGTTGAATTACATGTAATCAGAGTTGGAAGAGACCTCAAGGGCCATCCAGTTCAACCCCTGCAAGACATGAAAACACACCCAAAGCACTCTCAACAGATGGCCATCCAGCCTCTGCTCAATAACCTCCAGTGGAGGAGATTCCACCGGACTACTAGACGCAGCATATTTCCATCAGGAAGTTCTTCCTAATGTGGAATTTCTTTCCCTGCAGTTTGAACCCAATGCTCCATTGTGTGCTAGTTTCCAGACCAGCTGAAAACAAGCTAGCCCCTTCCTCAATGTGACTTCCTTTCCAATATGTAAACATGACTGCCATGTCCACTCTCAACCTTCTTTTCTCCAAATTGAACCTAATCATCTCCCAAAGATGAGAGTTTGGCTTCCAAACCTTTGGTCATTTGGAAAGAGGATTCCACCTGAATATTAAGAAGGACTTCCTAACTGTGAGAGCTGTTCAGCAGTGGAACTCTCTGCCCGGGAGTGTGGTGGAGGCTCCTTCCTTGGAGGCTTTAAAACAGAGGCTGGATGGCCTTCTGTTGG